AAACTAGCCAAAAAAAGACCTCTGTTTTATAAGGATTCACAAATTGCAAGCACCCAGCAGACCTGGGAATGAGGCATGTTGGAGCTAAGATGAGCCTGTCTTTAGGGAATGCTGGACTCTGACACTCATCTGTGTAAATGTAATTTGCTGCCCAATTGTTACTGAACCAGGTTTGTTTTGCCCACTGCATGAAAGGCCAATCACCGAGATGATGAGTTTGCAGCAGGGAAAGGGTTTTTTCACAGGACAGCCAAGTGAGGAGACAGGAGAACAAATCTCAAATCCGCCTCGCCCAAAAATGGGGATTAGGGATATTTATAGGATGAAGGGGCGGGGTGGTCTGAAGGGTGGTAATAGATGATTGGAGGTAAGGAGAATTGAGGTAATTGATGATCTACGCAAGTGTAGTCAAGCTTCATAGCTCTTCATAGGACGCATGTTCACAACATGGCAGTGTTACCATGATCTGAGGGTGGAGTTTTTGGCTCCTTGATCAATCATCTGTGCAGGCCCAGTTGATAAGTCAGTGGTCTTAAACGGCCTGAACTGGACAAGGAGTCAACTCTCAGTTCCTGAAACACATAAATACCCCACTTGTTACCATGGTGACTCAAGCATCAGAGATATTATCTATAGGGTGAGCTTTTGCTCACCCTATTATATGAGATAATGCATTATCTAACCGCCTTTGCAAACAGACAACTAACTGAGTATAGTTAAAGCGAGTTGACCCCCGGTTTCACAGTTAGGTTTGTGTTTTGAGGTTTCTCATCTTGTAGAGAGTAGATCTTGTGAGCTGTGAGGTGGCCCTGGTGTGGAGCCATTGAGGTGACTTCCTGTGTGCCGTGGGGTCAAGGGGCATGGCTAGAGTCTAAAGAAGAGAAGCCCTCATGAGGCCTGGACTGTGTTAGGTATGAGGTAGAAAGTATGTTGATCTGGGAGTTAGGGGACCTGGGTTCTTGTCAGAAAGCTTGTCAGAACCTTTTCCCCTGGGTGCCTTGATCTGTAAAATGGGATTTAATAACAAAGCCCTGCCTACCTCCCAGACGATGGGAAAATGAAAGTGCTTTGTAGCATTTCTCTGTATGCTGACTGCCCACTCCCTTTTCTTCAGGTGCTGAGCTAGGCAGATTTCAGCATGAATACAAAGTGCCAAGTCAGTGCTGGGATATGCTCACATGCATTCTCATCTTCCTACTGTCTCTCTTTACACTTGCAAGTGTCCTCTCTTCCCACTGTATTTGTAGCCGAGGACATAGTTGAGCTTTCCATCTGCTAGTCTAAAACACATGCTACCAAAATTTGGAGACGGTTGGCAACCAACCAAGGAAGGAAAGCAGGGATATTCAGGCCAAGGCTGGGGGCCTTCAGACCTCTGAATTAAAATGTTATTTTCACGTTGTCCTTTGGTTAATGCTGATTATGGATGTGGCTCCAGCATGGCAGAGCAGAGAGGTTCAATGTTATATCTTTTAAGTTGCTAAAGGAGGCCGTGTGTTTACTGGAAATGGAATATGATGAATTCGGAGTCCTTTTTCAAATCTGCTGATTTGATATGTCTACATCAGATACATCAGATACAATCTTTGTATCTGATTCAAAGATTGCTTGAAAAAGATACTTTTTATCCTGGTGATGGGAATAGACAGGCAAGATGAGAAAGGCCAAAGTGCTGGTTGGAACGATGTGGCCACGTGAAAGTAACTGTTGGAAAACTTATTTAGAGTCAAGTCTAGATGAGTTGCCTCAAAAGAAGTTAGATCTATAATTGAATGGAGGATAATATGAGAACCTGCTGGGTTGGAACTGGAGACTTGCTCCCTTTAGTAGGTTTCTGGGCTTCTGGCATAGAGCCGTTATCCATCAGAACCAGCCAAACGGAACAGTTATAAGGAAACCTTCCCCCAAGAATCTGCTCATCTCCTCTTGGCTATGAGTATAGAAAAAAGTAAGCGCTAACTGTGGGGCTCAGTGGCGCGTTTTTACTTCTTTGTTTAGCATGTTGGAAGTATCTTGGGTATTCCAGAAGGTCAGGAAGGCTGCTGGCATGGCTCTTAGGTGACTTCAGAAGTATTGAGAGGGCCGGCCCCGTGGCTTGGTGGTTAAGTGCGCGCGCTCCGATGCTGGTGGCCCGGGTTCGGATCCTGGGCGCGCACCGAGGCACCACTTCTCCGTCCATCCTGGGGCCGAGTCCCACATACAGCAACTGGAAGGATGTGCGACTATGACATACAACTATCTACTGGGGCTTTGGGGGGAAAAAATAAATAAATAAAATCTTTAAAAAAAAAAAAAGAAGTATTGAGGACCTTTCCAAAGTGGGTGTACTCTGTACTCTACTCCCTGTGTACTGTAGCTTCTGAATGTACCCTTTGATGGGACCGATGCTAGGTAACTATGTGCAGCCTCCAACTCGGTCCCTTGCCTAAGGTGAGTAACTTTACTGCTGGGTCAGCGGTAAAGAATACCGGCTTTGTTTCTTTCTTTCTTGGACTGCTCCTGAGGTGTGCGATGGGGAGTTGGGGATAAGTTAATGTTTAGATGATTGAAATTCCAAGTCGACAATCCTTATCCCAAACCATTAAGGTCAGATGTATTTCAGAAGTCAGAATTTTTTGATTTTAGAAAGGCAATACAGTGCATGTAGAGTATTTTACATATATTCCCAGTGGGATCTGGGGCAGCACCCCATAATCAATACACTATTTTTATGGAAAATGTATGAATATTCACCATAAGTGGAATAAATAAAGTCTGTAAATAGCCTCAGCTCAGTTTAAGTCATGTTTTTCTACCAAATTAGCTTTGGAAACAATAGTCTTTCAGTTTTTAGAGCTTTTTGGATTTGGTGATAACGGATAAAGGATTGTAGACCTGTAATTGTCATTGGTTTTGCACTTTTAATCCACTTGATCCACAGAGGGGAAAGGTACGTTCAATGGATATTTCCTTGGAGGGGTTCTCTGATGAGGTATTGTGCAGGTGATGGACTCCTGGCTGTGTTTCTTTCAAGACACTTTCTCTTTTTCATTCTTCTTTTTCTTCCTCTTGGCAGGGATGCAAGCAGGTTCAAGATTCAAGTCTTTCCTTATAGTGATTTTTCTTATAGCACCCTTTCCTTCTAAATGTAGACTGAGCGAACTGAAGAACCAGATGCTAAAGAATATACACATGACAAAGCTAAACAAGTCCATAATGCAGATAATGTATATTAATAAGTGCTCACAACAAGATAGGGACACATATCAATGATTTTGTAAACTGCACCCTTAAGCCAGTATAGGTGAAGGAACTCCACAAACATGAGTTTTATTCTTTTGTCAATGCTTAGTCCTTCTGAGTGTTTTTGATCCTGTAGTAGTTCAGGCCAAGGTCAAACATTCACCATATTTGGCTGCCAAGAGTGATTGAATCTCCTGGGGTGTTTGTTAAACATGCAGATTCCTGGAGTCCTAGACTTCTGTAATCATTATTCCTAATGAAGGAGCCCAGGAATTTGCATATTTAACTAGTGCTCTGCAGGGGTTTCTTTGTTCCTCTTGAGAACCAGTGCTTTGAAGGTCAAACTGCCACAGCTGAGGTTTTCGAAAGCTCTAACCCAGGCCTTGGTAAAAACAAGTAGGATGAAACTGATTTGTCTCTTAGAAGGACAAGGTTGTTTTTGTTTTGTTTGACCTGGGAGGAGAAGAGAAGAGCAAAACCACCTAGTCATGCTTAGAAAAAAACCGATCAAATGGGGGGGTGGGAATAATTTTCCCTCTACCCCTCTATGTTCTTGGCTGAGACCACTCTGCAATTAAAAACAGATTAACAGGAGAAAAACAGGAGTTTAATACCATGTATACCTCCTGTATACACGGGGGAGACCCCGGAAAACTGAAAACTCCACAAAATGGCCCAGGCCATCATCTTAAATACCATCTCCAGTTAAAGACAAAAGATGATGTTGGAGGGGAGGCAGTTATGGGCGGCTATCAGGAAAAGCACACTAAATAAGCACAGTACAGTTGTTATGCAGAAGATCTAAGTCCATGCCTTCTCCACTGGTAGGAGTTTCTAGAGATTTAGTCATCCTTCTCTTCCTGGTGCGGTACAGAGAGGGAGACACCATTACAAATAGAGATTTTCCCTTATAAATGTAAATGTCTCTTGCAAAAGGGTAACTTCTCAGTTTTCAGAGCTTTTCCTGTGTCTGCTGTTTCTTAAAAATAATCCATATGCCAAAGAGACATATTTTGGGGTGGCAAATTCTGCTTGCCTTCAAAATCAAAGGGAGATTTGGAGCCTGGGGTGGCAATATTGGTAGGGTTGCCAGATAAAATATAGGATTCCCAGTAAATTGAAATTTTGGATAAACAATGAATAATGTTTTAGTGTAAGTATGTTCCATGCAATATTTAGGATATACTTATACTAAAACATTATTCATTGTTTATCTGAAATTCAAATATAACTGGGCATTTGTATTTTTATTTGCTAAATCTGGCAATGCTGGATATTGATTAACATCCCTGCCCCCACGGGAGGCACACCAGATGGCAGTGTGTACTTGTCCTATGCTCAGAATCTATTTTTACTTGTCCTGGGTTAAAAGCTTCTGAGACTGGTTACTTGTGTCATATTGAAGTTGAGGCATTGAAAAATTAAGTTTTGTTCTAGAGGTTAAGAGGAAGTGTTCTAGAGGCCAAATAGGCCTAAGAAAAGCTTTCCCCTTCTTCTACCCCCAAACACTTACTCCCTCACTCTCCGTCTCTCTTCCTCTCCCCCCCATTACACACCCCCCAGACATACACACACAAGCGCACACACACACATGCGTAGGTGTATGTGCAAACACAAACATATTTGGAAAACTACCTGCTTGCCTTTTAAATTTTTTATATTACATTTTTTGTGTTGGAGTTTGGTTATTAATTATTATTATTATTATTAAAGTAACATTGTCTCACTGCATCCAGCATTTCTCTTGATAACCATACTTAATTCTGTTTCAATTGCAGATCTTTCTCCTGGCCTGCCCTCCATGTCCTGGAGCTATCGTCGTCTTCAAGTAAGGGAAAATTGTTTTTTGCTCTACTGCCATTGCTATTCAGACTGTCTTGTCTATTTGATAACAAAGGATGATGAGCACATTGTTGTGAGCTTGGACCTGCACTGCTTTGTCTCTGGGCTTCCCAAGGGACAAAAGTCGATGAGGGCCCAGTGGAACATGGAAATGTTATATGTGGAGATTTAGCTTTTGGAGCCCTGACAAATCCTTTTCAGTGATTCCTTGTGGTGGTGGTTTATGGACAAGGCATTCTCCCATGGAAGGTTGTCGCACTCCTAAAGTTTCTCTTGAGAGCATGCTGGGGCCAGACAGCTTCCCTCCTTGCAAGAATCTTTGCATTGTGGTCCTGCTGCTCTTCACTTTGAAGGGCTTTATTCTTGTGTTTTAATGTTTTTTTTTTTTTTTCTGAGAGTGCAAATTAAAGTGAGGAGAAAAACATATCACCTTATCATAAGTCCTGACTTAAAAATAGCAAGCATCAAATCCATTAAAGTGTATTACAGGCAAATCATGTTTATCTGAAGGCAAGTTTGCTTAAATGAAATTCTCAAGGGTCCCAGCACTCATTTTAACGGTGAGTTTTGACCATCTCACTTATGAAGCCTTTTATGAGAGTTGCTAATGAGAAGCTAAATCGGCCAAATTAATTTCATCTCTTTTCCCCTTCCCTGACCTCCATTTGGGAGCTGTTCCTGAGCCGTGAAATGGCTGCAAGACAGAGGGAGGGGACAGGAAGTAAACAGCCCAGCAGATCCTTGGATAATCGAGAGTGGTTTAAATGGCTTTCTGATTTACTTAAGTCATTAAAGTGTTAGGTAGGGGAGAATATACCCCATTTGCTGCTTCAGATAGCTCCTTAGAATAGCCACTTAGTGTCTTGCTTTAGGTGAGTAACTTTCTGCTGGGTGAGGGGGAATGGATCCTGATTTCATATATCTCATACTTGGACAGCTCCTAAGAAGAAGGGGCATTTAACCCTGTTTCCCTCCCTTGATTTCCCAAAATGAGCTCAATTTTTCAGTGCAATGTTTTAAAATTAACATTTATTGGTTTTATTTTATTATTATAAAAGGAACAATTCTCATTATAGGAAATGCAGAGACATATAAAGAAGAAAATAAACATCACCCCTAATCCTACCACCAAGAGATAATTTTGGTTATTGCCTTTCTTTTTTTGGTAAGCAGAGATCATATTTAGGTTTTTTACTGTATCTTTTCTAAATTTAATTCAATTTGTATATACATTTATACACATAAAAATACATGAATATGATTGCTGCATTTATGTTTTTATAGTGGACCTTTTTTCCCCCTTGTTTTGTTTGGCTCCTACCTCGACCTTTCCACATCATCCATGCATATTACCAGACCAGTGTGTATCCTTCCATATTTTCTCCACATTCATGGGCACATACATACACAAATGGGTTTTGGAGTATTTGGTTGTTGTTGTTCATTGTTTGTTTTACAAAAATAGAATCCTATATATATTTTAATACATCTTGCTTTTTTCACTCAACAATATCTCATGGGAATCTATCAAAGTCTATTAGTATAGCTCTTATTCTTTTCCAAGGCTGCAAAATATTTCATAGATGCATAACAATTTATTTAGCCATTCCTCTATTATGAACAATTACATTCATTCTTTCTAGATTTCTGCCACTATAATCAATCCTGAAATAAACATCATTGTGTGTATGCCCTTATATAATAACATTTTCAATATATATACATACACGGCTATTTATATATGAATATGTATATATATATTTATGTTAACAGATATTTCCATGTTGATTTACAAAAATAGGCAGTTACAATTCACTTTTCTCTTTTTTATGTAACACATGAGGTTATTCTTTTCTTCATATCCCCGCCAGCATAAGGTGTTATGGTTCTTTCAAAATTTTGACAACTTAATGGATGTATTTCCTTGGCTATTAATGAATTTCAGCATTATCTCATATTTTTTTTCCAATTAAATTATCTCTTTGAATTGTCTGTTCTATTATCTGTCCATTTCCTATGGATTGTTTATATTTTTCTTAATTTTTAAGACCTCTTTGTATGTTTTGGATATTGGCCTTCTGTCTATCATCATTATTATAGATATCTTTCCCAAGGCTGAATGTATTGACTTTGCTGATGGTATATTTTTCCACATAAATTTTTTTATTGATGTTTTAATAGTTTATAACATTGTGAAATTTTGGGTTGTACATTTTTGTTTGTCTATCACCATATATATGTCTCCCTTCACCCCTTGTGCCCACCCCCTACCCCCATTGCCCCTGGTAACCACAATACAGTTTTCTCTGTCCATGTGTTGGTTTATATTCCACATATGAGTGAGATCATACAGTGTTTGTCTTTCTCTTTCTGGCTTATTTCACTTAACATAATACCCTCCAGGACCATCCATGTTGTTGCAAATGGGACAATTTTGTCTTTTTTTATGGCTGAGTAGTATTCCATTGTATATATATATACCACATCTTCTTGATCCAATTGTCAGTCGAGGGACACTTAGGTTGCTTCCACTTCTTGGCTGTGGTGAATAATGCTGCAATGAACATAGGGGTGCATAAGCCTCTTTGGATTGTTGATTTCAGGTTTGTTGGATAGATTCCCAGTAGTGGGATAGCTGGATCATAGGGTATTTCTATTTTTAATTCTTTGAGGAATCTCCATACCGTTTTCCATAGAGGCTGCACCAGTTTGCATTCCCACCAGCTGTATATAAAGGTTCCTGTTTCTCCACATCCTCTCCAACATTTGTTGTTTTTTGTCTTGGTGATTCTAGCCATTCTCCACATAAGTTTTTACACTTTTTCATATCCACATATTATTTTGTTATATGGCTTCTGGGTTCCCGGTGTTGGTTAAGACTATTTTCTTAAAGATGGATAACTAGTTGTACTAGCATAATATATTAAGTAATCCCTAGTTTTCTCTGTGAATTGAACTACCATCTTTGTCACCTATTAAAATTTTTGTATTCTAGGATCCATTTATGGATTCTCATTTCTGTTTCTTCTATTTGTCTGTGCACCCAAATCTTGTTGATTTGATTACATTAGCTTAAAAAAATATATATTTTTCTTGGTTATTCTTTGGCATTTTTTCTTATGTACAAATTTTAAGATCACTTTTATTCAATATCCCCCACCAACCCTATTGGGATTCTAATTAGAATTATATTAAGTTAATATTTCAGTTTTGTAAGAATTGATTTTTTAAAAATTATATAGGTTTTTTTAATATGAGAAATGATATTTCTTTCCATCTGTTCAGATCTTGTTTTATGCCTTTCTTAATACATTTATTCCTAAAGAATTAATAGCTTTTTTTGTCCATTATGAGTGGAATATTGTCCTCCTTTCTATTCCTAACTGCTTCTTGCTAGAATAGGAAAAGTTTATTGATTTTAAAAATATTTCTTATATCTAGCTATCTTACCAAATTCTCTTGTTAGTTCTGGTAAATTTTATTTTAGTTTTATCTGTTTTTTCCAATGGTTATACTAGTTATTTCATTTTCTTCTATTTTTTCTTTTGCTAGAAACTCAAAAAGAGAGTTCCATAAAAATGGTGCTGGTGGGCCACTCGGTGTAAAACCAATTTTAAATAGAAATTTTTTGTGTTTCTCCGTATTTGCTGTTGGTGTTTGTTAAATAGTCTATTATATTTAAATAGTTTCCACATTTACTTAGAGACATTTTAAAAGGGAATGGTTGCTGTATTTTATCAAATGCTTTATCAATGTCTGTTGTGCGTGTATTTTTTCCATTTACATTTTTTTTTTAATTTGTGTTGGTTTAAGTCACCCAATTGTGGTAATTTTTTTTAAATTTTTTATTTATTGCAGTAACATTGGTTTATAACATTGTATAAGTTTCAGGTGTACATCATTATACTTCTATTTCTGCATAGATTACATCACGTTCACCACCCATATACTAATTACAACCCATCACCACACACATGTGCCGAATTATCCCTTTCACCCTCCCCCCTCCCCCCTTCCCCTCTGGTAACCACCAATCCAATCTCTGTCTCTATGTCTTTGTTTATTGTCGTTATTATCTACTACTTAATGAAGGAAATCATACGGTATTTGACCTTCTCCCTCTGACTTATTTCGCTTTGCATAATACCCGAAATGTCCATCGATGTTGTCACAAATGGCTGGATTTCATCATTTCTTATGGCTGAGTAGTATTCCATTGTGTGTATATACCACATCTTCTTTATCCATTCGTCCCTTGATGGGCACTTAGGTTGCTTCCAAGTCTTGGCTATTGTGAATAATGCTGCAATGAACACAGGGGTGCATGTATCTTTACACATTGGTGTTTTCAAGTTCTTTTCCATTTAATTTTTTTTTTTTAAAGATTTTATGTATGCATTTTTTCCCCCCAAAGCCCCAGTAGATAGTTGTATGTCGTAGGTTCACATCCTTCTAGTTGCTGTACGCGGGACTCGGCCTCGGGTTGGACGGAGATGTGGTGCCTCGGGGCGTGCCCGGGATCCGAACCCGGGCCGCCAGCATCAGAGCGCGCGCACTTAACCGCTAAGCCACGGAGCCGGCCCCCATTTAATTTTTGATACAGTGAATTACGTCAATAGATTTTCTGATTTTGAACTACTTCTTGTATTATTAAAATAAGCCCTGCTGATCATAGTATATTATTATTTTGAAACATTGCTGGATTCTATTTGTTGATCTTTTATTTAAAACCTTGCCTCAGTATTCATAAGTGAGATTGGAGTCATTTTTTTGGATTTTTTTCATCATGTTTAAGGATTGAAATTGTGATGGCTATGTAAAACGAACTACAGAATGTTCCTTTTTTCCTCTGGCCTGGAATACTTTAATTATCATTAGAAATTACGTGTTTTTTAAAAGTCAGATAAAACTCAATTGTGAAGCTTGTCTGGTCTTAATGCCTTTTTTCAGTAGGTAGACCTTTAATCACCTTTCATAATTAATATG